AAATCATTAGAAGTTGACTTAAGTATAAGATATATAAAAAAAGACTACATATGAAAATAGAATTTTATGTCAAATGCTTTTAATACTTAAAGTGAAAATGAAAAGACAAATGCAAATTTTAAAATGACTTGTAGCATAAGAAAAAAAACTTACATGCATACACTCCGTTGTATCTATTTTTCCCGCGATTTTTACGAGTAAGAGCTTCGTCACATGTTCTTGTCAAACCCTTTGGTAGTTTCTAAAAAATAAATGAATTATAAAACAAATTAGTTTGCGAAAAGTTACACAGGTAATTAAATTCAGTTATGCTCATTATTATTTAGCCATTTGCATTGTATGTTTTTATTTAAGATATATTGTTCTAATCTTAAATTTGTCTTAAATAAGTAGTTTAATTTTCAAGAGCTTAGTAATACATAATTTCCCATATCCGGGAAAGCTTATGTGATAACAACTAATACTGAACCTCAAATTCATTTTCATAATCAGTCTTCTTCCTGGCGTACTCTAGTAAATCAGATATTTGTATCCGGCTTCGAACCAGACTTGCTGTATTGTAATATAAATCTGCACTCGGCGGGTTTACCTCTGTAATAGAATGTTTAATAATGAATAAAGTGTCTTTACAGTGACATTTGATGTCACCATTGATTAATTGTTGCACAAATCTACACAAAAAACGAAACTGGCATTCTTGAGTAAATGAAATAGTCATCTTAAACCTTGATCTGTTTTCAAACAAAGCAGGTCAGACCTAAGATTGATAAATTTACATTCAGTTCAGATAGGCATTAATAATGTCATTAGCAATCCATGCTAACTCATTATCAATAATGTAACTTTAATTCAACAAACCTGTTTCTATGAGTTTAGAACTTCCTTCATCTAGTTCTTCTAACTCTATTTCATCTACATTCGTTTCCTCTTCTGATTCTCTTTCAGAAGTGGTTTCAATTGAAACATTCGCGTACGTATTACTTGATACTGCTGTTTCATCATCTAAATCTATTGTTATGTTGTCATATATTGTCTTTGGTTTGCTTATTTCCCTCATACTAGGTTTCTTGAGTTTTTGTGGTTTGTTAGGTTGGGCATAGATGTAGTCCTGACTGTCTGCATTTGGTACAGGTTTCTTCATTGGCTTTGCATACACATCTTGAACTGAATAAATTTATGATAAAATGATGAGCGATGAAACACTTTTGAAAAAAACAAATGAAATAATCCTTAGTGAAGAATTGAGATGGAGGTTTAATCATTTAGTAAATTGGAAATGTATGTTATAAACCGATAGATAGACTTGGGAAGGATGGAATTCACTTGGCGATTTAAACTTTAGTACTTGTATAGATCTGATTCGTATTCATTACAATTCTTGATCTATCGAGAGGTTGGTGTGGAAAATGACTAAAATATGATATGCATTATTTAAAACTTGTGTCATTATAAATTCATTCTGTATTCTTTTAACTATCGTATACTTAGATTATCTGCGACAACTTCTTCATGCTGAGCAGATTCATCACTAGAAGATTTTCGTCTGCCAAGTACATGAAAATTCATAATGTATTTATTTTATTATTCATTAAACAAAATAGATTGTTGTTTCTTTGTAAAAATCAATACAATTATTTAATATGAGCATTGAAAGGTAGAGCTCAGAATTGATTTAAGGTTATGCCTCATAACAGATTAATGTTTTAATTTTGGCCTTTGTCAAAGATTAAAGAGAAATCTTAATTTTAAACAAAAATGACATGCAATGGGTTTATGGAAGCTTACGTGCTACTACAAGGTCAGTTAATTTCTTAAAAATGCTAAAATAAATTTTAAAAGGTTACGCATTGACTGTGTGGCTTAGTCTTCTTAAGCTTTTCGTGCTTTTTGTTTAGTCAAAATACCATTTTGATTACACTTTTGCTGCCTTTATCTCAAATAATTTCACATACATCATTTTCTATTTGGTCAAAAGGTTCTTACATGTACTAAACTCATCATTACAATGCACATCAATATAAAAGTAATGTTTATGTTTACTTTTATTAACGAAAGAAAAAAATATTTTTGAGAAATAATTTGTCTTTAAAAAGAAATGAAAGCAAATACAGAACAGTAAAATAAATATCTGTATATATACCTTCTTTTAAGCAAGCACAAACCCAGAACTATGATCAATATCAGAACAAGAAAGCCTCCTCCTGCCGAAGCACCTATGATGATTATATCATTGCTTTCTTCTTTTCTTTGCTGTTTTTCTTGAGAACCCTCAGTAACAGTTTGAGTTGAACTTGTCTGTATCATGTCTGTATAATTTATAACAATATTTAACTTCAATTATTTTACAAAAACAAATCAATTGCACACACACACGTTAATTGACTATTCAATTTTGGAAGATACTTGATAGATGTGTGTTTAATGTTGTGTATGCATATTAATGTTTTAATGTCTCTTGTCTTATTTCGAGTTTATTTCTGTGCCTAAACGCGCCATTTTTTCTTGAAAGTATGTTGGAAATTACTAAATTATTTTTCAATGAACAAATGAGTGCATTCACATAAAAGTAAGAGTTTTATGATGTCATTTGGTTTCGTTATCAACATATAAAACAAAAACATATAATATTTCTATAACAATTAAAACATTAACCTTTTTTATTCGTTGTGGTAGTAGGACCACACTTGACACCGGTAAACCCATCCTTACATCCTCTCGTACATGTACCTGTGCTTCTATCACAGTCCTGATCTCGGCAACCCTCGGGACAGGAAGTATTACATGTATCGCCCCAATAGTCTCCTTCACATCCATATAAGCAATAACCGTCATCAAATTTACATGCAGTTTTACCTTCTACTATTTTACATGAATTGCTGCAAGCTAAACTGCATTCAGTTGCGTTAAAGTCACCATTACATTGTACACAACTATTTCTGTCATTCTTCGAACATACTAAGCATTTCTCATTACATTTTTCGGTACATCTTTCACCAGTCCAACCATCATTACAGTTCCCTAAACATATACCATTATTATCACAATTTGTAGAACATTCTTGTGAGCACTGAGCTGATTTTTTTTCACATGATACACCGTTAAATATTTCTCCTTCAGGACAGTCAGTGCATGTTGGTATATTATTATTTACCTTGCATAAATTGCATCCTGGAATATGACATAAATTTGAACATTCATCCTCCTGATTTGGACACCTATAACAGTAAACATATGTGGTTGCCGTCAAATAAAATTTATTCAAATAAAAACCGTCGTCGCAAATACGACAAACATTCCCGTCATCACATAGTTTACAATTCATTGGGCATTTTTGACAAAAGTAGTCACTGGAAGTATTGTATACTAAATATCCGGATTTACACCCTTCGGTACATCTATATAAATCACAAAGTTCGTTCTGACAGTCACTACAATTGTGTTGGCATCTACGTCCATATTTTCCATGTTCACAGTTTAAGCAGTATCCATTGTCATCATTACAATCACCATTTAAACACTCTTTACTACAGCCATATCGGCACTGTTCCGCACCTGTACCATACTTGCTAGCTTTACATTTCGTGCAGTTAGTCTGGTCGGTACAGCTAAGGCAATTGGCTGGGCAAGGATGACAATTATCAGCGGATAAATAGTGCGATGGTTCACAATTTGTGCATCTTGAATCAGGACAGGAAGTGCATCCAGGACACTCTATGTAACGGTGAAGAAAAGAAACATTTTCAATTCTATGCATCATAAATGTTTCCCCCTTCGTCATAAACTATTTTCAAAATATTTACTTTGATAATATCTATAACATTAAAAGAATATTTAAAAACATTTGTGTTATTTCGAAAATGTAAGATTTAAACACTAATTGCGCATTTAAAAGTATTTTATCTAGGGATTGAAAAGGTCTTCTCAGAAATGTTATTTTGAACATTTTCATCGGGACATAAGTTTTAAGGCAAGAACGATAAATGTTCGAATATTTACAAGCTTTAAGAAAGACACAAGAATAGTAAGTAACAATGTTTTTTCCTCTTTATAAAGATCCAGATACCTGTATACAAAATAAGTAACATCAAACAAGGGAAGATGAATAACAGAATAGCTTACGCTTGATACCATGTTTTCGTGCTCAGATAATTAACTATGTTAAATAAATTTTGAATGTCCCCACTGCACTTTAGATTCTAACAAATACTGAAGATAAAAATGTTAATGGAAAGTATAGCAAAAACAAGTGTATTTCTGAAACAGAAACAAACAGAGACTTATACTTACCTGCAACAACGAACTCTGTTTGTAATAGAAGAAACACTGCTATTGTTGCTAAATATTGTTCCATTCCTCTAGTGTCAAATCTAAAAGTTTTAAATAAACCATTTTATCGATAACATTTCCTGATAAATTTCAAAATATAATATAAATAAAAAAAACTACTTTCTGTTATTAACGTAGCTTTGGTTTCAGTTAATCTTTATATGAGATACAAACATGTCTTACTTTAAGGTGGTTATTTATGTAACATATGACTGGCCACTATTTAAACTTCACATTGAATTACAAGCAGGCATATTATCAAGCAGGCATATTGTTTTAAAATCTTAAAGACATTATGCATTTTGGTCCAGATATTGATCAAGATTGTGGATATTGCGTGGAGGTATTAAATTTATCTAAATGTTAAAGTTTTAGCAATCATGCTTTGCCAAAAAAAACTGTTATATATAATATTGAAAAATTAACATAAGTTCAAGATTAGGATATTTTACCTTTTGTTAACTCCAACAAATATAATAGAAATAATTTCTTTTATACTTCTTTGCTCAATTTAATACAACACAGGCGGAAGTAAAATTATACCAGTTGAGCACTTCAGCTTTTGGTAAATAATAACTCGTTTAAACCATATTACGAATATTTAACAACCTTAAGTATTTGGCTACGCGCTAGTACCCATAGTAAATAGCCACATTCAAATAAGTTTTAATCTTAATTTTTAAAGTCTGCCTTTTCCCCGGGCTTTTTATATAGTCAGCTCGTCCGCGGGCATTTTATACAGTCTCGTCCGCGGGCATTTATATTGTCTACCACGTCCGCGTGCATTTTGTATAGTCAGTCTCGTCCGCGGGCATTTATTTTGTCTACCTCGTCCGCGGGCATTTTTATATAATCTCCGCAGCCATTTTATATAGTTAGCCTCGTCTGCGGGCACTTTATATAGCCAGCCTCGTCCGCGGGCATTTTATATAGCCTGCCTCGTCTGCGGGCATTTTGTATAGTCTCCCTCGTCCGCGGCAATTTATATAGCCTGCCTCGTCCGCGGCATTTTTATATAAACCTGCCTCGTCCGAGCATTTAATATAGCCTGCCTCGTCTGCGGGCATTTTATATAGCCTGCCTCGTCCGCGGCATTTTATATAGTCTGCCTCGTCTGCGGACATTTATATAATCTCCCTCGTCCGCGGCATTTTATATAGTCTCCCTCGTCCGCGGATATTTATATAGTCTCCCTCGACTGCGGGCATTCTATATAGTCTGCCTCGTCCGCGGGCATTTTATATAGCCTGCCTCGTCCGCGGCATTTTATATAGCCTGCCTCGTCTGCGGACATTTATATAGTCTCCCTCGTCTGCGGACATTTTATATAGTCTGCCTCGTCTGCGGGCATTTTATATAGCCTGCCTCGTTTGCGGGCATTTTATATAGCCTGCCTCGTCTGCGGACATTTATATAGTCTCCCTCGTCTGCGGACATTAATATAGTCTCCCTCGTCTGCGGGCATTTTATATAGCCTGCCTCGTGTGCGGACATTTATATAGTCTCCCTCGTCTTCGTACATTTATATAGTCTGCCTCGTCCGCGGGCATTTTATATAGTCTCCCTCGTCCGCGGGAATTTTATATAGCCTGCCTCGTCTGCGGACATTTATATAGTCTCCCTCGTCCGCGGGCATTTTATATAGTCTCCCTTGTCCGCGGACAATTTATATAGTCTGCTTCGTCTGCGGACATTTATATAGTCAGCCTCGTCCGTGGGCATTTCATATTTTACAATAATCGATCTTATTTCAGTGGAAATATACTTCACAATCTGTATCTGTTGTGAACGCTTACCATTTAATTAGCTTTAATTCTACCTTAACAAAATAACTAACATATAAAAGTCTGTTTTCTGTCATATACATTGTATTTATTACTAAAAGAGAACATTTATCCCTGGGACACTTATGTCTTCCACTTCATGTGACTGTCACAGAGACGAACTTACAAGCTTATGTGTCTTTCATTTTGGTCAAGTTAATATATAATACGCATATTATTATAATTGATAAATTTCTCTATGACTATGCCGGAAAGTATATCCATTATAATAATGACTTTTTCACTATATGCTTTAATTTTCATACAGTACTTATTTATTTCACAATACATTAAAGTACAATTTTAGTTGTCAAGCTTATTACCATTTCGTGTTTATAGATAATACAAAATGACAAAACACTTTAAGATAAAGGAAATAAAACAATGAAACTTAAAACTATAAAAATTGCTTAACTTATTCAACTTGTTTAAATGATAAGCAAGATTTAAAGGAATATTAAGCCTCGGAAATTAATACGTTTTTTCGACCTTATAAAAGACAAACATGTGTTTTAAAATTCTGTAATAGACTGAGGCTATATGTACCTTTAATGTGCATTTACATCTGCAGAAGCGAACGTATTTTAGGCATAAAACTATTCGTATTATTCGTTTATTTCGCGTTTTGTTATCTGTTTTTTCGTATAAACAAACACTTTTGCTATGCTCTTCTGTCATTTGTAACGATAGGCTATTTCCACATGCCGCCATGAGTCACGCACATTAGACAAAAGTGTATCCATGGGACATGAATGCCCCCGCAACAAACTATTTTCACTCCATGTACCACAACTTATTTTATACTTTAGGATTAAACATTTTACCAACAAAAATGGCCTTAAACTTGAAGATGCAGACATTCGTCTTGTACAGAACACATTGTCTGCTCAGTCATGGTGATCATATGTGTACCTTTTCTTTTTGAAATACCATCATGCCTGCAGAAGTTAAAGACGGGACACAAACTCAAACTGCACATAAAATTATTGATCAGTCTTGTTCTGTGAAATTGACCTTGTAGCTACAGACAATTTTCTAACTGTTGAAGCGCGGGAAAAAATACATATTGGGAGGATGACGAGAACCTTGCTTAAGTAAAAGTAAATCAAATTTGTAGTCATTTTTGATAAGTAACTTTCAGCAATGGTATTTCAATCAAGAAATAAGCATAGAAATATTAACAAAACGCAATATTCACTTTTTATTAATATTCAATATATAATTAATGCTCATGCTCTTCTCATGTAACCGCCACAATTAAATGTATGGCAATGAATATGTACATGTAATATGTTTAAATGCTAATTAAACAAATTGAAAAAAAAACATTACATATATTATACACATAAAACATCATTAAAGGCATTGAGCTAGGCAGCCTGAGAGCTCGTACATTTATACCGTTTATAATATAAGACAAAAACAACCGATGACATGCGTTTGTTTATTTATATATATTAAAACATATGTTTTCAATAAAAGACTAACTTAAAAAATAAAGGATGAACCACTTCATTCAAAACTGTTCATGTGCTTCTATTCTGTTGTTCCTAGATCTGCAAAGAAATGAAGAAAACATATATTTAAAAAAACGCCCACACCATCACACACTCTCACACACACGTGTGTGCGCGGACACACACGCACATGCATAATCATGTGTTTCTTCTTAATTCATTGTAATGGAATGTTTGGACAAATACGTGCATTTTGGATACATTTATAACAAATATTCTTTTTTAAGGTTAAAGAAGATATTATATACGTTTGTATACTATGACGAAGTAAGTATGACAATAATTATAAACTTAAGAAATTATTAACTTTAAATGATTAAATCTTATACCACTGTAAACATCCCCCGTCCGGATATGACTCAAACTTTCGTAATTATTTGCAGTTTCAATATATGATGGAATCTCAACGTCTAGGTTGTTATTTTGAGGCGCTTTATTTCCCAGGTATCTGTATATTTTAAAGAGAAGAACTCAATTCACCAATAGAAAACTGACTTATAATTTTATGGCAAAGCAGAGGCATCAATTTGAGAATAATTTTAATGGTACAGTGACATAGAAGTTTGTAAAATTATTATTTGAATTTCGAAAAAGAATGCTTCCAAAATTTCTGTTTGAAAGAAAAATGTTTGAATATTTCCTGAAGGGGGAAGGGTGCATGAACGACATCATTACTAATCAGTTAAAACTAAAATAACAGATATTTAATATGTTTGCATACAACATTCACGACGTTTGTGTGTTAATTAGTATGTGTGTTCTATGTATTAACTACTAGTATACTAGTATTTAAAGAACCGAAAAACATATCTTTATTGATTAAAAATTTTATGAAAATTTTTCATTGCTTTACAGCTTTCAAATATATAGTGATGCTTTGAATAGGGCAAGAAGTTCAGAAATGTCTTTAATCTAAAAAAGTGATGACAAGTAATTTTTCATGTTTTAAAACATAAATAGACTTACTCTGGAATTAAGAATCAGCTAATCCGTAGGTACAAGAAAAAAAACTTATAGCTACAGTTATAGCTTCGAAAATAAGCGAAACAGATTTACTTTTTTATTGTGACATGAAGCCATAACGGTAAAAGTTGCCGAGTTCTTGATATTATTATGTATTTCAATAAACATTTTACCTTCGTCTCATGTAATAAAGCAATGTAACAATTGCCACTGTGACAAGAGAAAATCCAATTCCCGAGAAAAAGCCGATGATAGTAAATATGACCTTATCTTCGGATGCTTGATTTGGTGTAAGTGGTGTTGTTGTATTTGATGTTGCTTTCATTGATGTTGATGTTGTTTTTATTGTAACAGGTGTTTCTGTAAAATTAAATAATACTGAAGTCTATTTATATTACTACGTTCATTTTTTTTCTAATGTGTAACAGCTAACAGTTATGAAATTAATATAAAAAACCGTTCAATGTTAAAAACATGTATACCTGAGTTTTTTTATAGGCAATCAGTGTTTTTCTAACTATTGATATTTTTATTATATTTGTTAATTGAAGTGACTAAAACTTGACGCAACAATATGAATTATGGATTTATGAATTTTTCTTGTTTTGTCTGTTTTATTAACTTATAATATTTAATCTAGAACTATTTGAAAAACAAAACAAAAACTACGTAAAAAAATAAACACACGTTGCAAAATATTTCTCCTAGAAGGTTGTTTGGAT